TCTGATTCTGACTCGAGACCAGCGAGATCAAAGGAACGATAACTATTTATCTCGGGTTTCCTTGTTTGAACGGCTAGACGTGGTGAAGTCGCGTCTATCTCTTCTTCCGAACCTCGTCGTCATCGGATTCCTATCACGTCGTCGCCGTCAGAAGAAGATGCTTCTGCGGCTTCTTCCACCGCGAACTTGGTCACTGTGGGGAATGGCGTTCTGTCGCAGGGATCCGCTCCGCTTGTCCTGAAATGCTGTCTCGAAGGAGAACTTAATCATGCCGATTTGTGATCCAACCCCGAAATTTAATCCACAACGTCCGTAGCCTATAATAAAGCAGTTGTGCGCATCTAATCACGAATTTTCAATTCGTTCCAGGTGAGTTACCGATTCCGGACGAACGCAAGTCGATCACCACTCGAAATTTCTTCCGAACCTCGAGAGAGAAGAACACCGGTTCGCCGACGGGGCCACGGGTTCGCATTGACGTCTTCCCGCGAGGATCTCACACAGCCGGGTCTGATGACTTCGGTAAACTCTGCACGAGCAGAGCGAGATGAAGAGAAATCGCCAAAGGCGGTCGTTTACGGGCGTTGACTGATCTGGGCTCGAGTCTCCGAAAGCGCGGTGTGATTTCGGTTGGATTTTGCAAAACGCTGAGACGACTCGGTCGGCCGAGTGGATGGACGGGCTGCATTCTGGGGATAATTTGGCGTATTTTGACGGATGCGTCGTCCATTCGGATTGACCAGCAGTCGACTCGTTGGCCGACTGCATCGCGAGAAAGCTGCCTGTCTCTGCCTCGGTGGCGGTCGACTACATTGGTCATTGCCGGGTCGTTTGCAACCGCCGGGGAAGGACAAATTACAGTAGTTTGAAAATGCCACACGAATCGACGTTAATTCAATACGTGCACAGCGAATCGCAGGAGCTTTCACGAGAATAGCGAGCCGCAATCTGTTTTTTTTCAAACTCCCGTCAAATGGCACATGGTGAAGAATTACCGTCTATGCACACGGTCGTACCTCCGTACACGAGGCGTTCGCCTTCTTCATTATCGACATCCACTTCGTCCGATAGTTTATCTCATCCCGAACATTGTCATGCGGATGGACGCGCGAAACGATTCGCGCGGTATGCTGCTGCCATCATCGTCGCAGAAGAAGCGTCGGTAATGTTGTACCGAAGGAAGCCATTCAAGTTCTGACGCGCAGTTTCAGGGTCCGATGTACGCCGAGCCGCTCTCAGTCAGATGAGTGAGCTGGAAGTCTGTAACGAATGAGATCGCGACAGTCGATTTTTTCTCAAACTCAGCTCTCTGGACGGAGACTCGGGACCGGGGACGGCTCAATGGACTGCGTTGCGATCGGCAGGTCCGAAAGAACAAACGAAACTTCGCTGGACTTGGCTCTTAGAAGGTCAGAAGGGACCGAGTTACCTCCAACGATGATTTGCCAGGGTATTCCTGAAAATGTGATGAGCTCGGCCTATTACGACCAATTAGACTTCCTTGCTGCGATTGCCCGCTGCAGCGGCGTCGACATTATCAAACGTCGCCGTCGTTGCTCTAAATGGTCGACGACGAACCATTTAGAGTCATCTAAGCCCTGACGGCGAGAAAGCCGAACAGTCTTTCAGAAATACTCTAGTGCGAGGCTCAGCAGCCACTGGAAGTTTGAGAGGAATTATTCCGCCTGCTCTGGCCATCGTGACGACAACGCTCCTCAGATATCCCTCATCCATGCGGGTCGGACGACGTCTGTCGATCGATAAGTGGGTTGCTCATTCGATTTGGTGAGCTTGGCTGAAGATTGAAGATCTACCCAGCAGTTCGACGCCTTTGACGCGACGAACGAGTTCATTGAACATACACGACTCTGAAGTCTCTTCCGGTTGTATCTGTGTTCAGTTTGCACTCGCGAAGGAATTGTTCTGGATTCACGTGGTCGTCGGCGTCGTCGGTCGATCGCTCGCGCTCGTCGATCGGTCAGACGTATGGGACCTCCTCGACGGTACGATCAATGGTCGAAGCTGGAGATAAGCTCTCAGTAGCCGCTGAAAAAAAAAGTGTGTGCGATGTGAAAAGAGAACTTTGACTCGTTTATGTAGATTCGTCCAGACTTTCTGCTGTCGGCTTCCCACGTTCCTACTCGGCCTGCTCTTGCATACGGGGACGCAGTAGCAGTCGTTACCCGACAAGCGAACTGTAGTAAATATGCTTGTCAGGAATCCTTTTCTTCTTTGTCGATGACATGCCGCGTGAACAATGGCTCTATTTTCGCTCATCGCCGCCACGCTACAGAAATATGTGATATGGCGATAGATAATTCACTGCCATGCAGTAAAGCCTTGTGATCTGGATACCTTGATCGTTTCTGATATCTAGGTTTCGGTCGTTCTTTTTGTCGTAGCTTGACGAATGGAGTAGGATCGACGTCTTTCCGCGATAATCTTCTGATAATTTGTGAAGCGACGAAATCCGTGAAGGTGATATCAGAGCCGGACGGTGGGAACGCGGTTTCGGCCCTGAGAAATCAAATTGGAATGAGGGAAGGAGACGGAAACGATTCCATCTGAATGTTTCATGTCCTAATGGCGGGGACAAGATCATTATTTATAATATCATTATTGCATATATGTTGAATGAATTGGTTCCACCGGACAATTTCTCCGGACAGTCTTCGGCCTCTCGGAGCACGCGACGTTGATTTAGCGGTCCGCTAATTGTGATTTTCATACTAGGAGAAAAATCGCATGCCGTTCGCATTCTTGGAGGCACAGCCCCTGAGGGTCGAAGACGCGCACTGATCCAGTAGTATTTGAGTGTGGCACCCTTGCTGGCCTCTCTACTTGTTGCGTGTATCACCGTGACGACTTTCCTGCCCTACAAGAAGCCTCGGAATAAAATGACGCATCGGATGGAACGGCGGACGAGCCGTTGTGGAAACCGCTCGCGGGCGTGCCATACCGCCGGTGTGGTCTGCAGGGCAAACGTGGAACTCCCCGTCTTCGTGGTTGGTCCTCACGAGCTCAAGATACGCGTGGCTTTCAGTGGCGCCGGTAACAGCTGACGAAGGTGTCAATACCGTGTGGCCAGAAGATCTTCTCTTCTAGGCGGCCGTCGACAATCGAGGGTTGATTGGATGACTCTCAAAGCTCCGGTAGGAGGGAGTTGCAGCGGAGAAATTTCGGGCTTAGGGGAGGTATGAGTAGCAGTAGCCGAAGTGGATGCCTCCCTTGATTTTCTTCACTTTCTGGCGCCACCGAAGGCGAGTCCGCTTGTCGAGGAGGCCCTCGCTCTAAACGATGGCGGAATTCCCAATCGAGAGTCTAGACTCTCGGCGAGGACGGGAGCAGAACGCATGGCAGGATTTTCCAATTTCGAGCTAGGGGATCTAAGAGAAGCTCCCGGACTTCTGTTGGATACGCACGGGTGTATCGGGTCAAATAAATGAAAAGAAGATCATCAGGTGATGATAACCCACAACAGATGTCACCCGCGATATTTCACTGGAAGATGGTGAGGTCCACGCTCCGCGCCTCAGAAGATGATACCGCTGAAGCTGCTGACAATATTAAACGCCGGGCGCATTTGGCAGTTACGCCTCTCCTTCGGAGGGGCAATGCGATTGAAGCTTCAGTGACATTCCGTTCGTTTACTGAACACTCGGGCGGGGCACACGTCGATCTCGACAGTAGAAACTCGACTAACGATGAGCGACGGGGCTAATTGTAACATTCGATCCAACGGAGGAATGTCATCCAAGACTCGTCCCTTGTTGGCGCCGTTGATGTTTGTTGCCTCAGATCCGATGTGCAGCAGCTTTTGTGCCTCAGAACGTCTCGGTCGGCCCTGGACGGCCGCACGTCTCGCTGAGCCTTTCGTGCCTCAGAACGTCTCGGTCGGCCCTGGACGGCCGCACGTCTCGCTGAGCCTTTCGTGCCTCTTCAACTCTTCCCTCATACTCCGCCCCTCCGAATTTCCTCGACTTCGCCACGGCGCGAGAATTTTCTCACGGACAGCTCTCCAACCCTATATGGGGGTTCTGGCTCACGAGTATCACGAACGCTCACGTCAGCCCCCACGTTCGATTTGCTGGAGGGTCCACGGATGCGCTCTAGGCATCAGGGTCTCTAAGCCCATCGCGCCTCGGGTTCCGACCCGGAGTTCAGCTGATGTACTTACATTGGTCCGGCGGAATTTCGTGACGGTCCCAACGGAGTCGACGTCAACGCTGATAATGACATGGACAGTAACTGTAGATGACGCTCGTTCGGCACGAATTTTTCTTTCCCTAATAAGCCGTATCCTAGAAATCGATTTCGGAGAGGGTGCGGCGTCTGAGATTCCATGAGCTCGAGGTCGGGTCCGGTCTCAAGGGAAATGTCCCTGATCCCGAAGTGATCCAGGCAGGTTCCCGGGCCCCGGACAGTCTCGATTCTCAGTGAGAGCATTCAGGTATCGCACTCGAGGTCAATACGTGTATCTCCGAAGAAGCTTCATACATATGCTTCGGGAACTCTGTAGACATGCGGAAGCTTCCCGAAAAAGTCAGGCGCACCTCCGGTCGAGGTATTCGGGCCGCGTCGCAGTTCCTTTTTTCTGCCGAAGTCCACCGCCCACAACTCCGTGTTGACGAGTTCACAGACTTCGTGGGGTTGCGACTTCTCGCGATACTCTCCTTCTGCTTGGGCTGCTGCTGGTACGACGGCTTCTGCTTCGTCGGACCAACCCTCTCCCAGCTCTTCGGCGCGCGGCAATTCCTTCTGCTTCAGTTCGGGCCTCCTGACGGTGCGGGGCGTATCTGTCCACAGTGGGTGCGTGTTTTTACGGCTGGCTTTCGTTGCGTATGTCATGCTCCGAGAAGAGTATTTGAAAAGCAGTGTGTCACTCGAGTGTGAATCTCTCGTTCTGGATTAAGTGCTCTGAGAGCGGTGCGATCAGCCCCTCTCTTCAACTCAGCTGGTCAGCCGGCCAGCGGTGTCGACGACGAAAATCTACGAGCACAATGTCGGATTTGGTGCAGAAGATGGTGAAGACCGCAATCTCGGTCTCGGGCTCGTCTACACGAACTCTGCCCGCCCCTCCCGCGCCCTCCTCCGCCGCAGCCTCGAGCTCGAGCCCGAAGCAACTTGTGGTCTGTCGTCAGTGGTGGAAAGTGTGTTGGGTCTACGGAGATCAGTACAAACAGTGCCGCCAGCTGTATCAGGCGCAGAAGCGCATCTTAGCCAAAAGTACCCAACAAACACCTCCGGGTTCGAGTTCCGACGGCACGATGGCCGCGAGTAGCAATGTGAATGTGCCCGCCGCCGAAACCGATAGCGGCAACGATAGTGCGAGTACGTCAGCGACCCCGACAAAAACTGTCAGGAAACGGACATGTGGATTGCTCCAACAACAAGTTACAGAGTGAGTTTCCAACATGGTATCTTCCATCGATTCACAAAACTCCCTCAAGACCTGCGAGAGTTCGACTTTTCGCCGGGATTTAGCTTAAGCTCCTTCGGAATTATTTTTCTTCCTATTACCTTTCCTCGTCGGGACTCGGTAGAATCTTTGCGGTGGTGTGAGGTGGTCGCAGCCGCCCGTGCGTGATACAGCAGCCCACGCTGAATTCACGGTCGCGGACTCACGTTCATATCACGAGAAGGGAAATATCGGGATCGAGCGAGAAAATTTTTGGTACTCCTCATGATTCTCGCAGACGATGCTGACGAAGTCGATAGACGAAGGGGAAAGAACGAAACGAAAATCTCACGGAAGTGTTGAGCTATTACGAACAAATGAAAACTATTACAAGTCGATAAGAGCACAGTGTGAGCTGTGAGGCTCGATGCTTCGCTGGTTTTCGATGCCGCGAGATGATTTTTCTTCGTTCGTTCCTTCCTTCCGTCCGTCCGTCTTCGTCGCTCTCTTGATGCGCGCTGTTCTTCTACCAAGATCGTGTCTACGAATGTGTGCGGTTGCTTGTCCGAGTGTCTTCGAGTGGACCTGAGACGCGGCTACCAGATGGCGTCGGCGGAAATGTCTAATTGAGCCACTGAAGTTTCAGAAGATCTTTCTTGACGAAGAAAGATGGCCGACCACTCGGTAACGACCGCCCGACCGAGCGTTCAGTAGAACGCACGAGAGAGACCACCGAGGAAAGCCTTACCTCGTCTTCACAGGCGTAGCCACATCTTGTCAGGGTTTTTATTTCACCTCACGAGGTGGGGACGATTGACCACCCGAGGGAAAAGTGAAAAAATCGGGCCGCTTCGCCGCCTCGATATCGCGAGCGTTGTGACGGTCGGAAAATCTCAGCACTCGTAGACTCTCATTCCGGATCAGATGATGATGGGAAAAGACGAATGGATAGACTACTCGGTCAGCGATGACGGTCTCGGTTCCCTTTTTGTGGCTTCCCTGATCTTTACGACCTATCCGGTAGCTCGACCATATCGGAGCAGCCGGGACGATGCTTGTGGCGACGGCAGCGACGCTTCGGAACGGACTAGCGGCGGTCCAGGCAGCGTCTTTTCGTTGAATAGACAAAAGAAGACGACGACACTTTGTGATGCTAAACACTGCACACCGTCGGCTGCATACCCGACCATCTTTGCTATGTCCGCGCCGCAATCAATAGCCGACCTTTTTAACGCACACACAAACACCCGCTTGGAACGGCTATTCTCTTGGTGAACGTCAGGGGGAACGGTCGAAGAAACAAAAAAATCCGCTTTTCGTCTTCATCGGCCGCTGCCGTTCGGGACCACGTCGGAGTTGGTCCAATGCTATGTACATAATTCTATCGGCGGCCGACGTGGCGCTTCGTCATTACGCTCGGAATTCGACGTGGTGTCCGTCGAGGTGTTTCTCCTCGCTAATGGCATTCTCAGCCGACTGAAATTTCGTTACGGTGGGAAGAACAGAAACATAGCCCCCCGATCCGGCCTCCCGACCGAATCGAGTGCGTGTCAGTTCGAACTTACGCTACGGAATCGATCGTCGCTCGGTGCTGCCGTAGAACATACAACAGTCTTGTGTCATTGTTCGCTATCGCAGATTTCGTTTATTTATGTTTTATCGATTTTTTCCGAGGCGATTCCATCACTTTATCACTCTGCTACTTTTTTTTCGCTCGGTAACTTCGACAGAAGTGTCAGATGTTGCTGCTATCGTCAGTGCGGCTGCCACCGATACATGATATCTGTGGATACGAAAGCGACGTCGACGGCTACAACATCTCCTTAAGCGACCGTATGCGGCAGTAAACAGAGCAGATTCCATAGCACCTCGCTACGGACGTGAAGTTCTTTTCTTTACATTCGTCGCCTTTAAAGACTCTTCCTCTTCGCGATTCCTTCTGTTCCTTCGCAGCTTTTCGCATCCCAATCTGCTTCAGCAGGAGTCGGAGCCGACATCGCCACGACTGCGGTCGATGCTGCATCAGCAAGTGAAACCGTAGAGCGGCCCGATCTCACCTCGCTTAAGAGACGAGCTGATTTCGGGGCCGAGAGAATTTACTGAAAGCCGGCTCCGCTTTTACGCTCATCTCATCGGCTCCGGCGCTCTTGTTGGCAAATTCGAAGAGAACTTTGGTGCTGTCGAACAAACAAATCTATCCGGGAATGCTAAACGCAATCAGATTCCTTCCGCAGATTGAGATGATTGTCTCCGGCGGCCGATCGATTCAGAGCGGAAAATAACAGGAGCGAATCGTCAGAATTTTACATTTCACTCCGCAAACGAAAAGGAAGAAGGCCGATAGACTTCCATGATACTGAGAGATACACTTTCCACCTTTTATCTCCCATCGAAAACTCGAGAAAGAGAGAAATGTGCCCAGAAGGAAGACGGCCGCCACGAAGCGATTTGAGTATGTCGTTTGTTGTTATCAATCCCCGACTTGAGAGGGTGCATCTCATAAATAAGTCGATTTGCATTCACTGAATCAGAATGCCGAAACAAACTCAGCGGGTCCCGGTGAGTCGAATTCGGTCCCTCTCCTTCCGCTGTGAAATCCCACCGAGTGAAACTGAAGCATGGGTGCTTTGATGGAGTCCGAGCACGAGAGAAACCTTGGGACGAGAAGACTTGCCGTTCTGATCCGGTGCCATCGCAATCATTTCACTTATGGCTTCGAGAATGCTTCCGAATTATCGGGATTTGCAGCTCCGAAATGGGTCCTGATGTACCCGGTGCTCCCCATTGAGAGGAGCTTCTATCTTGCGCTCCGAACGAAACTCGATTTGTCACTCTCGGTGAGAACATGGATTGTTGCCGATGAGGAGATTCGCTTGCACGTGATCCACCATAGCCATCCTGGCCGCTCGGATCACCGCGGTAGTGCGATCGCTGCGGCTTCACCTGGCGCTGGCTAACATGTTTTTCGATTCTTTTCGTCGAGAGGCCCGGCCGCGGCCTTCGTCGACTTCTGCACTTCTGCATATCGTTGTACGTCGACGTTTGCCGTCGGTCGACGTTAACTGGCGGCCAGCACAGGAGTTCCGCGACCAGCCAAGCGACGGACGGGCGGTCGTTCGGACCCGTCAGACCCGTCGAGGGAACACGAAAGCGCACGCACGCGATAGACATAAAGGAAAGCGAATCGATCGAGAGAATCCGTCGATTTAGTCTCCGTGAAGCTCCTGGGAAAAATGAAAATTCCCAATTTGCTTCCGAGGAAACTCGTCCCGGAGTCGAGCCGAGTGAATTTCCGATTCCCTTTGCGATGAAATCTGAAAGACATCTTCTACGGAAGGAGAATCCCGAGCGGGGAGAGCATTTTGAGGACTCCGCGGCAGACGTAGCTATACGTCGGATGGGTCCGCGACAAGTGCACACCGCGTCGACGGATTTCAGCTCCACGATGAAGCTCTATTGTTCTTGCTGCTCCTCTTGGCCTCTGCAGAAGATGAAGCATTTTCGCCTTCTCTCGGGGAAAAAGAACGAGGAGAGGAAACGAAAGAAAAAAAATCAAAAACAGCCATAGAATAGAAGGATTTTTCTCACACAGAGATGTTTAAATCCCTTCGGTTTGAAAGACGAGTCGACATGGGGTAGAGCGGAAGACTTGCCGAAAAGTCGTTCGTTCAGCCGTCATTTCTGGATACTGACGGATCTTTTGACGCCGATTTCGAACACCCTTGTCGCGAAAAAACCGGGTGCTCAAGCTCATAGACTAGCTGCGAGCTTTTCATTCCTCGCTTGCTTTCCTCTGCTTTCGCCTCCCCTCTGACCTGCTCGCACGGTAAGACATTCTGCCGATGAAGATCTTCGGGAGACCTCCTCGATCCAGGCGTCACTTGTCGCTCATGATCCAATCTCGAGAGAATCTTCTCCGGCTCGGCGATCCTCGATTTCCTCCGCGAGATCGCAGGAAGGATGCAACCATCATTTTTGGTGTCGAGATACAATGTTCAGTCGTTGCTCTGATCTCTCGTTGAACATGCCGTGAGTAGGTTCCGATCCGACCGCGTTTCTTCAGAAAAACTCTAAGACAAAAGCCCCGCTGCTTTCTATGTTGTAAACAGAATGAGCTTCGGCTCTTCTCAAAAGCTCACCAGGCCGAATGATTCGTGCCTGAACGGCGTCTCTCTTCGCTCACGTGCTGGAAGTCCGCCGACCGGAGGTGTTACGGAGAACCGAGACGGGATTTTTTTCGATTAGTAGAATGCCCGCTCACTCGCACTCTCTGTTTCGCTCTCGATGGGGAAGAGCTGATGTCAGCAGACAAATAATAATCGGAAACCAGACGGCACTTCTCTTCCCGAGTCTGATCTTCCTGTAGACCAAGCTCTCGACTCTCGAGAGACGATCTATGTGGTTTCCTGCGCGATTTCATGAATGCGCTCGACCGCTTTCATCGGCACTATCCATCCAGATGATCGTTTCGCCTGTGATTTTGCCGAATGACCGAGGAACCCAAGGAGTGGACTTCTGGCCGTAGAATCCAGAAAGCTGACTTCCGTAGCAGGGAAACTGTTCATTCGAGAACTGCCTTGCTGGTCGCCCCGCTTAGTTCAGTAAGTCACCGAGCATGACGAAGACGAAGAGCGTGCTGGCTCCTCCCGCTATCAAAAGTGTCGCACAGAAGCCTCTTGGAGGAATTTCGTCGGGGGTTAAGACTGTTTTCGGACAATGCTCAAATATTTGGAGTTAAGCTCTCTCAAAAGCCGCCCATGTCCACTTCTTCTTCCTGCTTGTTGCTGTCGAGCTTCATCTTGAGCTCCTCATGCCAGCGGTCGACGCGGCGGTGGATTGGCGCTGTCGGCGGCGATGGAGGCGAGCGAGTGTTTGAGGAAGCCGTTGAAGGCCAGCTGAAACCTCTTGCTAATCGAGGGGTACCTCGGCGACGGGCTGGCCCAACTTAGGTGAGCCAAACAACTTGTTTGAACTTGCGTTCGAACGGTCTTCGACGGAGGACT